TTTTTTTAATGTCTCCCCAAGAACACAATGCACTGGGAAAAATCTCTGTCAGTTTGTCACTTCGCCTCGTCAACAAGTTTTTTTTTTTTTTTTTTTTTTTTCTTCACGTCTGTCGCGGCGATAGTTCCCGATTTGTGGGGGGTTCGGTGAATCACAGAACTCTCAATAAAGTGGCCGCGGACGCGATCGCGTTCGTGACATAATTAACGATTTCGTTTTACGGCGGCAACACCGCTACAGTATCTAAATACAAAGTTTTTCGTTACGTTATAACGCTTATCAACACCACCGCCAGTGGCTGCCAGCAAACACGAACACGAAGTACATCACCACATCAACTACTATCCCACGGACCGTGAACGATGCTCTCGCCTCGCGACATGAATCACAATTACCAACGGCATCAGGGTTACCATCGCGGATATTGACACCAGACCAGGGAAAATTTAATGCTTTTAATTTTAGGACCACGTCCGCAACAGTCGCTCGCCAACAGTCGATTGGCCGTTGCGAACGAGACCTAAGGGCTTGTGTTCACAAAGAACTCCGAGAGTCCACCATAGACGTATAATATATAGACTGGCGCGTTTGGCTGAAAAGATGTCTTTCAACGTTGAGAGAGACAACATACTTTGAATAGTAACTCTTTCTCTGTCTATCATTTTCCCCACTACTTCGCTAGACAAAGATGAGGCTACTATTCAACACCAGCTGTCTCTCTCTCTCGACGTTGAAGACATTTTCTTAACATGGCAAAGGTAGGGAACGCTCAGTCTATATATTATACGTCTATGGAGTCCACAGATTAGTTCGGAAAAAGTTGCCATATATAGAACCGATCGATCGATCGGTCGAACTCTATCTCGAAATTAATTTCTTCGTGAATACAAGCCCTAAATAGAAAATATCGACCAGTGTGAATCAACATCCAATCACGTCGCGTTCAGACAACTCAACGGTTGAGAGATCATCACTTATGATAGGACTATTCTTCAAAATCTGCAGCGGTTCCAAAAGTATGATCCAATCAGAAGTGATTATCTCTCAACCGTTGTGTCTCAACTGTTGAGTTGTCTGTGAACGCACCCATCGTCTTCTATTGCGGTATTTCTGTCCGGGTATGTTGTTTGAAATTGTGTTGCCGTCAATCTTGTTATCCTATCGGTCTACAGATGCTTGTGAGCAAATAAAGAAAATAAAATATCAATACGGTAATGTACGTCTTGTAACGTCTATATAAAACTCATGTAATTATTTTAAAACAGAGAAAACTGGCGTAAAAGAAAAATTCTCTAACGCGGAATACATGCCCTCCCCCAACAGAGAAAACGAAATTCCGTTTCGCGGTTTCTCGCGGTTGATCGACGAGACGAGAAGAAATTCGGAAGAGGCGAAAAGAAAATATATGCAGAGCGTTATATAAAATCGCACGTACGTAACAATAATGCAAAAAAAAAAAAAGCGAATTGTCTATCTACAGATATTTATTAAACTGCATTTGTTTTAAATATTCCATTGCGATCTACATCCTCGGATCGCACACAGATGTGATAATTATTTAAGAAAATATATACACAAATGTCTTCAGCTTCTCTATATATCGAGATCTCTTTTTTTCGTGTGTATCTTCTCTCCACACACGGTACCTATCTTCTGTTTTTTCTTTTCCTTCGGAAAATTACAAAGAAAGATTTCTCTGGCCGATTTCGCATCCGGAGACAAAAATCATATACGTATATATAT